ACTTTAAACTTTTAAAAAGTTCTATAGTAAATCAAAAAGTTTTCTTAAGTTATTTTTTAAGTTTTAAAAAGTAAATTTTCCTAAAGGGCTAGCAAGAAGCGGCGCAGAATTAAATATTTTTTTTTTTGGCAAATTTTGCAGATGCGCGTCCAGAGTGATTTGCGGGGCAGGCTACACTCTGGACACGTCGGGCCAGTATTGCGTCGACGTGGACGAATGTCGCGAGGGAACGCACGAGTGCGGCAAGGGCCAGACCTGCGAGAATAGGCGAGGCGGGTACCACTGCATTTGTCCATCCGGCCACGCGAACGGACCGAACAACGACTGCGTCGACATCGACGAGTGCAGCATCTACGGCAACAGCATCTGCGGCTCGAACAGCCGCTGCGAAAACACCGTCGGCTCTTACAAGTGTCTGTGCGAAGAGGGCTTCGAGAACGTTGGGGGAGACGGTGCCGGTGCTTGCCATGTAAATTGCACAATGTCATTTAAACAGATGAATTATTCTAGAAGTATCATCTCGCGAAATGTAATTGTGATTGTTTATAGGACGTCGACGAGTGTCAGCGCACACCGGGACTCTGTCAGCAAGTGTGTCTGAACGTTTGGGGCAGCTACAGATGCGGATGCGAGTCTGGCTTCCGGCTGAACGCCGATAATCGATCGTGCAGCGACATCGACGAGTGCACGGAATTCAAGGACCACAATCTCTGCATCGGCATCTGCGAAAACACGCCGGGCAGCTACGCGTGCAAGTGCCCCGACGGCTATAGACTCGGTATCGACGGTCGAACGTGTCAAGGTAACAATTTTATATACACGTTTTCTTATATACATCGAAGAGAATAATTGCGGAAGATAAAGATGTCGAGAAAGTTTGTTATCAAGTAAGACAGAATGTACCGAGGATGTCGGATCGATAATACACATTTGTCGGCTGCACGATTGCGCGATCGTTAATTGGGGGATGGAAAGTGAGAGTCCGCTCACGCGAGTCACGGTGCTGTAACTTGGCGAGCACGCGTTCCACCTACTTTATCCCGCAGTTAAAGCATCAGCGGTGCGGTCTGTACTTGACCCGTTTGCCGGCGAACTGGGGCATCTCTTGGGTCACCAGTGCGCGACCGCGCGCTTCTGCAATCTCCTCAATCTCGCGCAATCACGACATTCGCCGGTGCGGTCACGATCTCACCACGTGCGGCAACGCGCTTAATTGTCCCTCGCGTGTGTGTTCGCAGACATCGACGAGTGCGCGACAGGCCGCGTCTGCAGAGATGCGGAGGAGATGTGTCAGAACACGCGCGGAAGCTTCCGATGCAATCGGATCACCTGTCCCCCGGGATATCACCGGGATTCCATGAGGAAGAAGTAACACTCTCTTTTTTCATTTCTGATTTAATCTCAATATCATTGATTCTGATCGATCTTGAATTAATCTTGAATGTTATTGAGTCATAATTTTTTTCCACCTTAATCAAAGAAAGTTATTTATGACGTAATTAATAACAATCTGTTCGATAAGAAACAAAAATTCCAATGATCCGTGCGCGATTTCAGCCGCTGCGTACACTCGTCGAGATATTGCCGCTTAAATGACTTGGCTTGCCTACGCTCACCCACGCACTACTCCTACAACTTCATCACCTTCGTGAGCATGCTGCCCATCCCGTCCACCGGTCAGCTGGAGCTGTTCACCATGCGAGGAAACCATCAGCCCGATTCGACGATACAGTTCAGCATGGCATTGGTGGACGTGCGCGCACCGCCCGGTATCGCGCGCGCCACGGAGTCCTGCTTCTCCCTGAAGAGACCGGCGCCGTCTCAGGCGGTCCTGGTGCTGACGCGCAGCATCCCGGGACCGCAGGAGATCGAGCTGGATCTCAGCATGGAGATTTATCACGACACCATGTTCATCGGCAGCGCAATCGCCAAGATCTTCATATTCGTGTCGCAATATGAATTCTGAAAAGATTCTCCGAGCAGAGGTAAGATAGAAAATATCGATGCAAGGTCGTAGAATAAAGTGATGTGATTTACGGGCACAAATCTTCCTATTAACTTGCAATTGCCTCTTTCATCACGTTACTACATCGAGAAACGAAAATTCAGGCAGTTTCACACACCGTACATTACATGAAATTGTATCACTTTATTCTACGTAATAATTTCTTGGAAGATATATAAAATTTTCTTCAATGTCAAAATTGTTGAACGTATCTTTTTATCGTTAAATGCGAAGCAACGCAACGAGTACTATTGTTAGTTAAAAAATATAAATCTTTTCTTCTAAGAAATAAAATAACATGCGATTAATATTTTAAGCGATTTACGTAATTTAAGTTTTTAATAGTAAGATTTTTTTAAATTTTCTGTTCGTTTAAAAAAATGAATATTAAAATAAATATCTTACTAATATTTCTATAATAGATATGTAAAGAGAGGAATTAAATGTACATAGATCCTTGTAAGTTAACGTATGTAAAGGACAGAAAGCATGAAATAAACTTACGTTAGATGTAATGAAATATTCTAATGAGTGACTCCCAGGCTTCTCCAAAGACTCCAAAGCACTTGATGCTTTATCAAAATTGTAGCTTTATTAAATGTTTCACTAGCGACACTCTCCTTCTTCTAATTTACACGATTCGCTGTTCACAACAGCGCCTATTGCTTCGAATCTAATACTTCATTTCCGCTTCACAGAAGACGTACAAAGCAATAAATTTGAGATCCTTAGTGTTAATTGCCGCTTCGTTGCATGAAACGCGTGTAACGTGTAATGCATTATCGTGTTTAAAAATTATAATAATATCACTGCATTTTACATATAACGACAACCGTCGCATTAGATGCGAATAACAGACTCGTCCGTGGTGCAGCGCAATTGCCATTATTATTAGTAATTAATTTTACTAAATTGCAGTCATTACGGCGACAATTAATATTGTCGATAGTGGACAATATAGCGATATAGCAGCAATAGTACTGAAATAATATAATTATAATAAAATAATAATAATAATATAATAAAATAATAGTAACAATTAATAATCTAATTAAATTACAATAACTATAATAGCGGTATTAATGTACACAATAACAGGAAGTAGAACAATTCGAACATGACACGTTGCGTGCGTCACGCCGGAAAAATGCGTACGTTAAAAAATACACGATCGCGTCTCTCTGCATATTTCTCGTTGGCGATATACGTGAATACACTAAACGCGATCGTGTCATACGTCGAAAGCACCGAAACAACAATAACTGGGGCGCGGCCGTTCGTGAGGCTTTACAACCCTCGAGATGTTCTAATTCGCTTAAGTGGTCTGCTAAAAGGCGAGCCAGTTTCCCTGACGATGCGAATAGCAGCAGGGAAATTAAACGATTGCACGTATGAAAAGGCGTTCAAGGCGCAGTCCGCCTCCACGCTGCGAAACATCACGAACTCTCTCGCGCCGCGCCGCTCAGTAAAAAAACCCATAATGAAACTCTCAACAAGCGCGTATAAACGCAACCAATAAATAGTATTAACTATAAACGTAACAGCCTGGATATATAGCAGCAACGCATTACCACGGCGTAACAACGATGGCAGTGACACTCGTCGCTCGTCTTAGATCTAAAAAAGTGGAATCGTGACTAGGATTCGCTAAGAATTTTCCGCGGCTTGCTTTGCTCGCGCGACGGTTAATACAGCGAGATAATTCGAGCCAGTTTTAAGTACTCGATGGCAAACCGTATAAAAAAATGCGATTTTTTTCGTGCATCTACACAATGCAAGTATCATATATGGAACTAAAAATCGGCCTCAAATATGTCGAAAGAATTATTTTAAAAAACAGCGCGGTAAATAGCGCGTTTCAATAATCTCGTTTGCGCACACACACATACACACACATACACACACATGCATGCTTATCGCACAGATCTATGTCTTTCAGCAACGATCTCGGTATTGCAAATTGTTTTTCAAATAACGCGTCAGTCTAAAAGATGTCTCACGAGATCAGAAGAGAAATATTTAGATATCTTTCAGACTTGTTCGCGCTGACTGACTCTCTTTGAATAGTTTCAAGGTTTGACTTTCCACATTATAATTCGATACAGGCAACGCGGTGTCTTAACAGTGGATCGTGAAGTGGAGCTTAGATTCTCATAACAACGTGTTCTTTAGCAGAAGAAGAATTTTGCGCGTGAAAAGATCTTCTATTGTTTCGAACAATTCTACATCTCGCACGTCGCGTGACACATGTGCTCGAAATGTAATAAAATTATACACTCGATTTACCCGATGAATATCTACCGAATGTCGTTCACTTACTCGTTATATAGGCACTGAACTAGGGAGATCTGCGCCGTGAAAAATAAATATACTAACAGCTACCTGTGCTACCTACTTAACGGAGGTAGTAGTAATGTTGTGACACTCTCTTAGTCGCGAGCCGTCTTGACGTTTGTATGACGAAAAGTGTCACCGGATACGTATTTCGTAAAATTGGTTACAACACTCATATCACATTGATTTCGACAATTTGCGCGTCCGTCTGAATTTCCTTCTCGCACAAGTATGAGAGATCTGCGTAAAAATGCCACTGTGCGTAAAAATAGTGCGTAGCTCTCGCGATTTTTGGGTAATATCTCCGTCGCTCTTAATGTTAATTGGAGAAAAAGGACATAGTTATATATATATATATCTTATTTCAATTCATCAAACATCATCAATGATGGCAGTTTGATCAAGCGATTACTTATCGATTTATCTAGTCTTCAACATGAGAGAATCAACTCTTCTCGCACGCGGACGAATATGACGGTATCAAACCAGAAATTTCAATCGTATTAGATTAATTTATATAGAACTTTGTAGGATGTAAAACATATCACAACTCGCTTACGTATGGTTAAAATCGATAGCCCGCCGGGACTATCGCGCGAACCCTCAACACTCCCCGTTTCGACGGGGGGATTCTTTTTAATTTTGTGGAAACAACACAGGTTCATAAATCAACGGAAGCACTCGCGCCGCGGCGTCTCGCACGACACGCCTTCTCACGAACTTGCACGCGTGACATTCTTATTTATGACTTCCCGCGAAATGCGCGTAACGGTACGTACCGTGACGCACTTGCATCGCCGCTATTTTCTTAACTCTTATCCCGGTAACCCGAGCCCCGAATGTCGTTCTTCCTTATTACAATAATTGCATTTTCCTCGTAAAAATAAATAGTTATTGATTTTTTTGAGAAGTCGAGGAACTTGAACAGCATAATATTCGACTGCCACTTTCCGTGGAAAGGAAAATATCGCCCGGATAAGAGCTAAATCAGGTATCTGCGAGATCTCGCGGACTCAGCGGGCTTTGAACGAACCGCGGCGCGTCGGCCGGGAGTTCGTCGGCGATCGTCAGGCAATCGTGTTGTTGTCCAGCTCGGCGAACTCGCGCGTCACCTTGCAGACGTAATAGAGGCGGTCGTAGAGGTCCGGGGTGCAGCCGAAGTCGCGCAGGTCGTCGAGCCAATAGGAGGACGCGTGGCGGCCGGTGTCGATGTAAGTGATGAGGTAGCCCCGGCCAGCGGACTCCTGCGACACCACCATCTTCGTGTGGTCCACGAAGAAGTTGACTTGCAGGAGCGGTACCGTTAGCTCCATCACGATGGCCTTGTCCGTGCGCAGCCACCGTCTCATCCGCGGCACGCAAGCGTTTTTCGACTGCCGCGGCGGCGCGCGGTATTTTTTCAGCTCACCACCTAGACGGCACACATTAACGCGCGCTGTGTTAATGTTTTGCTCGTTAGCCTCGGGCCGCGCCGCTATAATGATTCGAGTAGTTATGCTCTCATTGTTGTTTCACGTCCGATAGAATAATCCCCGTGAGAAGACGAGAGGTGAGTTTTTCCACACGCGATATTTCAAGCGAATAAATTGCGATGTTTTTGAAAAATGAACTCACCTTCTGTCAAGAAGTCATCCATGTACTCGGTAAAATGACGGAGTAGCTCGAGCTTCTTCTGCAGCGGCACCGGCACGTCTCTCTCTCGGTGATACAGCGTCACCTCGTCGTCGGTCGTCATGTACTCCACTCTTCTGCAACGTAATCGATTACACGATTCGATAATTTAAGCCAAAAAGTTAATCGTTGCAATTTCTTACTGAAAATAGTACATTAAAATTAGAATATTAAAAAAAAAATTAAAATTAAAATAATGATTAAAAATTATGCAATTGACGGCGGTAATTTCCCATTAATATTCTCGACGCGCTCACCTTCTATCGTGAGTGTAGCTGATCTTCGTGTTGTCGTTGAAGAGAACGCCGACCGACCTGTCGGACAGCTGAAAGCCCAGCCCATATTTGTTCGAGTAATCGATCCACTTGGTGACGAAGAGCGGCACAATGTCCTCCACGATCGGCGGATTGCACGCATTGCTTCGCTTTATCTCCGTTACGCAGGCCTCCAGTGCGCGATGCATCTGCACGCTCTGCGCCACGAGACCGGTCTTCTTGTGATCCGGACAAAGCACGCTGCTGAGCCGTTGTCGGAAACGCGGCAACTTGGGCAGCTTCCTGACCAGCCAGCTGGACACCTTGGATTCCTTTTGCAGACTTTTATGCGAGCGATTCAGCAGGTGTTGCTGGTGTTGCGACGACGGCTGCTGCTGCTGCTGCTGCTGCTGCGCTTGCTGACTTGGAATCGACGATTGCCGATAGCGCAGAGACGCGTCGGGATGAACGAGGCTCTGCTGCCACACCTGAAATTTCGCATTCTGCACATTCTCGCCAGTTAAAAAATCCAGAGTTATTCTTCTGAATGATTCGCTTGCTTACCTGCGCCTTGTTGGTATCTTGATTCCGAGCGACCGTGGAGACCGAGGAGGGCGACGAGGGGGGCTCGATGATCGACGCCGGTGGCATCTGGTAACAGCAAGTGTGCGGCAAAGACGCCGGCACGTATTCCTTGGTGAGGTAAGCGTGTTCCTTCACTGTCTCCAGGCTCGGCCGCAGCTCGGGATTCGACTGCAGCAGCCACCTGATCAGATCCTGGCCGTTCCGGCTCGCGATACTGTCGTCCACCTCGCGGTAGTGATTGTTGCAGATCCTCGCGTAGGTTTCCTTAAGCGTGGCCGTGTCGAAAGGCGGCTGTCCTACCAGCAGCGCATACAGTATGCAGCCCAGCGCCCAAACATCCGCCTCGTAGCTGTACGCCTGCTTGTACAGCACTTCCGGCGCGATGTAGTTCGGCGTGCCGCATATCGTCCTGCGAATGCAAACGATCGGCTATATGCTACAACGCTCGCGTGTGTTTACACGATCGCATCCGTTAGAGCGCCGGAAAAGGGGTGTCGTTTGTGTGTTTTTCTCCCGGCGAGGATAAAGTTAAAAGGTAGCTACGATAAAAAAGAATTGCGAGGTGTACGTGTTTACTGCTATCCTCCATTAAATATCTTGTGTTTTCAAGTTTTTTTCAACTTCACTAATTAACACATCGCGGATCGGTTGTTTTTTCGCTAATTGCCGCAAATAAATAAAGTTTATTCAATAAAAATATGCACAATTTTAGTATTTTTCCTTCAGCTAAATCTGAAATAATATATATTTTTTTAAATATATCGAGTCGCTTAGAAAATTCCTTCAGATTTTGACCTTTTATATTGAAAAATTCAAAGAAAGTTTCCGATTAAATAAATTTTATTAATCAATTGATTAAATATCGGCAATTTTATGTGGTCGAACGTAACGTTTATGCCCAAGAATTCTTGCGATCCTTTTCGAGTGTTAAACACGTGATCCGTCCGGAATGTGTTAATGTTTGCGGACTTAATCAGCAGATTCTTAACGCGGAAAATTACGGTCGATGTTTGCCGAAGTTAAATGAGTCTTACACTCGTCTGCGTTGCCCGTCAGGCCTGGTCGCCAGTCCGAAGTCGCCTATCTTGACGATCATCTGATCCGACAGGAACATGTTGCCCGGCTTCAGGTCCCGGTGAACGACTTTCTGCGAGTGGATGTACGCGACGCCGGTCACCATTTGCTTCATGTAGTAACGCGCTTCCGGCTCCGTGACTTTGCCGCGGTACTTCAGCACGTGCATCAAGCTCTGACGGGTAGAGAAGAAGAAGAAACGATATAGACTTTTGTATCCGGGAAGCACAACGCTCCCTTCGCGCGTTAAGTGACGTGCAGAAAGTCGCCTGACAGAAGAATGGCGCGATAAAACATAGCGGGAGAATTAAGATGTGGTTTTATTTTCTATTTATGCCTTCCTCCCCGCGCCTGCAATCTGTAATCCTTGCAGATGCTGCGGCGAATTCCTATCATAAGTGCAAAATTACGATATACTCGTACCGAGAAATTTCACATAAAAGAGCGATTTCGTATTATGGGCGGCCGTATAAGGGCCACCTGTGGTTCGTCTGAAAGAAGAACGGACAATCGGAAAGAAAGCGTTTCCTGACAGGAAGATGATCACCTCTCTCACTCTCTCCATCTGAGCGAAACGCGTGTGTACTTTTCGGGAGATCGGTTGTTTTATTTTCAGCGCGAAGTACACGCATGCCCACGACGAAATCGTCTCATCTACATCTCATTCGGTAAAGAACGCTTCGAAAGCAGCGTCTCCGGTGTTTCGCCGTTTTACGAGACGATGGTGAGGGGAAAGAACCGTTTTCACGAAAACGGAGAAGAGAACGGGGAAAAGCTTCGCTAATAAGACGCGTCTACGACCGGCGTTATTTCTGTTACGCGCAAACGTTTGGCGAAACGAGATGGTTTTACGAGGCTGTTTTACGAACGCGACAAGACGGACGGGAAAAATCTTTTCCATTAAACGGTTTTACGAGATATAGACGCGGCCTTTTAACCGTGTATGATATTTTTTACGCGCATCACGAAGTTACGGCTCGTCAGGCTTCGGCGTTTTCGCTTGTTACGCGTTATTGCCGACGATACTTCAGGTTTTCATCCTTTTTTAGAGAGAATTCGAAGAATTTCGCGAGATTTTTCGCGTCAGCTCGAGCGATCCTCTCGCGATCGCGCGCGCGAAAACGAGACTTCACGTTCGCGCAGGCGATCGTGCGGGAGAGCGAGAATAATCAGACGATTAGTCGATGCCTCGTCGCATCGTCTCCTAACGGTACAAACAGGTCGGCAGATCAGCCGTGAAGAGTGCAAGTGCCGCTCTCTTTCCGGCGGGATGAAAATACGCGGCGGCCGGTCTGATCCTGGCCGCTCGGCCGACAGGTACAATGGACCTGTAATTGTTTCCCGGGCGCGGCGTGCAGAATGATTTCGACACGTCGATTTAAGTTGCGCAGGTGTGGCTGCACTACGAAGGCGAGTTTTACGGGAACGATGCGAATAAAGATGTCGAAAACGCACGACGCGAAGTAAAATAAGAACGCTGTTTATTTAGCGATCTAACTGCCGATAACTGTCAGCGCTTTCAATATTTCACGAGCTGCGATAACTGTGCACCGTCGAGTTCCTACTAGTAGAGACATTCTCGCAAAAGTCTCGAAGGCGGAGACGTTGCGAAATTCCGTGAATATTGCAGAACGCGAGAAATAATAAGCTGGCAATGTGAGCTGCGAAGAGACATACGATACCTTTCGTGGGCAGGCTTCTAGGAGCATGTACACGTTGAGATTGTCCTCGAAGTAGTGATGCATCTGGACGACGTTCACATGATTCAGCTCCTTGTGAATCATGATTTCGCGCGCGATCTACGAGCAAAGTGCAAATATGTTATTCAACGGAATAAATAAAGATACGCGTTTCGTTAATGTATGCAAAAGTTTCCATCGCTAGAGATGAATCGTTCAAAAAATAATGACTTCCTCTATCGCGCTGTCCGTCCTGAAAGATGGTGGAAAATATTTTCATTAAAAATATTGTATGATTTGTAAAATAATACTGAAAAAAATTGTTAAAAAAACAATGGAAACTTTTACACATCTCCAATAACTAAAAACAATGCGATTTATTGCGGAAATTTTCAATTCTCAACTTTCAATACCGACGTTTGTAATCAAAAAATTGCAAAAAGTGATTTAACGCGGAGAATATTTTGACCAAAAATATTGTATGATTTGTAAGATATTACTAAACAAAATAGCTTAAAAAAAAAAACAATGGAAAATTTTAAATACATACCTTTTGCATGTGAATTTTCTGCATCCGATTTTTCGGAATAATCTTGCACGCGTATTGATTTCCATTACTGACGTCAGTCATCAAGTAGACCCTCGCAAAGCCGCCCTGAAAAGAGGGAAATAGACCGTTGATAATGACGTGAATTAATCTGTGGTCAAGTGAAGGCAGCAAAGGGCTGGATAGTGTAAAATGGCGACTATCCATCGAGATCGCCGATGCCGCATCTACACGATAAGATAAAAGGAGGATGCGACCTTCTTCCTGGAGTTCTAGAAATCTCGAACTAGATCCTAAGAATTTCTCTTCGACCATTCATCGATGACCGCAGTGAAAGGTTTTCTCCGCTTAAGGTAATCTTCTGAATTATCTGAGGTTTATAGTGCCATCGTCAAAGCGGCGTAAAAAGAAAGTGAATTTCTTTTTCTGAGACGCCATTCTCCTTTTCGGAGTAATTATGAGAGACTCCTGAAACGCATGGTATGTGAATGACAGCACAATCACAAAATGAATGTATTGTGAAAGAAGAGAAAGACGCACGAAACCTCTAAAAATAATGTTTACTATGCCACCGTAGTTGAAACGCGGAATGTCGTTGTATTTCGGCGCTGAGTGCATTCACCCCTTGTCGACAAACGTCGAAGCCGCCCACGAAAAAATAATAAATCCAAAGTAAGCGCGTCGGCGCCGTATTCCGGAAAAGCTCGTCGCCGGCGTCGAGGGATTATCTCGCCACCGCAAACGGCACGCACGCAACGCGCGCGCGATTTTACAGGGGGAAAAAGGCGCTCGAAACGGGCTCATTGCCAGAATAACTCGCCTGAAAATATCCCGTGTCGTTACGACAGCGCGTAACACGTCGCGACGATAACGCGTCACGCGATCGGAATTATCCCCGGCGCACCCCTGTATTTAGCGCTGAATAGGGTCGAACTCTCGTCTCGACGGCGGGAACACATTGCGTGCGCGATTTTTGTCTGTCGAAATCAGAAAATTCGGGACGAAACCTGTCGCAGACGCAGAGTCGTAAACGCCGGCCGACTTATTCTCGCGATCGATCGATATCTTCCGTACTGAATGTCGGCGCATCCTTCGTCCTTGCGATGTTCCGGCGATAACCCGCCGTGAATACCTGGTGCGCAACGAGCGTATGCCGAGGGGAGATCCCGGGGTACGGTTATGGCGAAGCGGTTTCGTTTATTTTTAAATACCGCTGCCGGCGACTAAAAATACATTCCCGCACGCGCTTTGTGCACGCGCGCAGTTAAATGGACTGTTGACAAAAACCTCCTCGAGCCTTGTCCCCGTTTCGCGCACGCCTCGCCGTCGGACCACACGTATGCGCGCATTCGTCGAGAATCGGTGCAGCGTTGGGGCGGACTTCCAACCGCGTTTGTGCTTTTTCCGCTGTGTAATTGAATCCTCCAAGCCGGGCCCTTTTACTCTCCCGCGAACGTACGCGTCAACTGTTAAGCATCCCACTTTGACAGAGGGATATATGCCATCTCTATCTAAAACGAGAGCTAAAGCTTTCCGTTTGGATACACAGGGTGGACCGAGAAAATTTTTCCTACGAATTCTGCGATCGCTTGATTGACGCAAAAAGTGTCAATAACGGATCGATCTTGTTTTCGAGAAGAATGCATGACGTTACGAGTTAATTTTCGAGAACAAAGTTCGATTATTCCAGTGTTTCTCGCACAAATCGATCGGAACGGAATGGAAAGTTCTCTTCGGTCCACCCAGTATATTTACGACGCTCGCCAATTACGAATAATTAATCTACATAGTGATTAGGAGGACCAATTAGTATGTCAGCGTCATCTCAGCGATCCCGCCGAGGCTTTGGCGTTCGCTTGACGTGCGCGAGGAAGGATCCGTTAACTTCGCTTCATTTCGCCGGCTTGTCAAGAGAGTACCTCGGTACCTCCGCAGCTTAGTCTCACCGGTCGTCGAGGACGCCGAAACGAGCCTCCGGGCCTTCGGACGCTCCTCGCCGTCCGACTGTACGCGAGCGAGCGCGCGAGGGAAAAAAATGAGCGAACGTCCGGCCGACCGGTTCTCGCACGGCATGCACGGTGTGCGTCATCGATTCGATTCCCGAGAAAATAATTCCCATTCACGAGCCATTCACTTCTTGCAATCGGCAATAATGACATGCGGCGCACTCGCGTGCAATTTCAAGCGCACTCTTCACCGTCTGTCGCGGAATTTCCCGTCTGAAGACAGGCGCCGAGACAGGCCAGACAATGCGACCGGTCCAGTTGTGCTTCGTGCCAGCGTCACATTGAATCAACCTGGCGTGGAGATTTGATTTCTCGAGAAAAACGAAAGTGCGCGGAGAGACCTCGCATGCTAATTAAGCGGGCGCAAGGATGCGGCTAATTAATTTCGAACGAACGAACGCGCGCTCGCGTGATATCAATCGCGCGCGTCTCCACGGCGCGGCGTCTAAATTTGGAAAAACCGTGAATCGCGCTCGGCCGCCCTTCCCTGCTTATTTTTAACGAGGCCCTGACCTTTCATTAATCTTCCCGGCTTATCAGCCGCAGCGGCGGCGGGAGTCGCTCACGATCGATTCTCGTTTCCACTCTCCGTGTCGGGATCAGCCGTCCGGCATAATCGTCACGGTTGCGAAGCCGATCACTAGGGCGCGGAGAGGTTTGCCGAGGGTTTCACTCGGATGCGTCTGCGACGCATTGTACCACCGAAACAGAAAAGAGACGTTCTTCCGAGCGACGAATTGCCTCGACGCGCTGCGGGCGATGCGCTCTAACAGCTTTAATTTGGCATGACAATTCGCGACGATAACAGCTTCCTTAACCCCAGTTAGAGCTCCCAGAGAGCCTTTCGGCCGTGTTACGTCAGAAGCACTTTAATCCCAGAAGATATAATAGAAGCCAACTCGAGAATCACGCGTTAAGCCCACTTTAGATGACCTATAATTCACGGCGGAATCCGAAATAGGGTTCTATTTATAATTGTATGCGCCGTGCAATACAGGAAGTGTCCTGAAAAATCCGTACACACGCACACGTAGAGAATCTGTATCGACGATACGCGCGTTCCAATTTTCTTCAAAAGTATTTTATTACATAAAATTGCGAGTGACAGATCGTCTGAAGTGGACTTTACACGTTTTGCAGTTCGCAGGCGAGTTTTTAGAGCAAAACTTGTCTCTGAAATTTTTGCAGCGATGAGCAATCGTCGAAAAAGAGGAAAAATAAGTACGCCGAGAGCGAGTATCGATCAAACGAAATTCAATCCCGAGACATCCGCTCGTAATGACACGCGGGGAGAGGGGGCGGGGGGAGGGGATTAAATTGATCGTAATGAACGAGCACGACCAAAAATAGAAGAGAATAATTTGTCTAGTTTCTATCAGTGCAGCACGTATAAATAAAACATGCATCTTCGTTTCTCGCAAGTAGGTTACTCGGGTTATCGATTAAATGGCGAGCTTAGGGGAAACGTGGGCACAAAACGGGAAACGTTTCGCCATTTATCGCGCTCTTTGGAAATGCCCATACATAGAAAAGCGGAGGAAACGCGGCGGAGTAAATAGCGTTCTGCTCGACCTGCGAGATCCCGACGCTTTTGTGAGGGGCGTATTCATTGTCCGACCGTACGTAGAAAAATCTACCTGCTACCGCCGAGTTTCCGACGCACACACGCGAGCGACGGGGTGGGGAGAGGGGATTCCGCGCTATTCTCCTATAAATTCTCGCCAAAACCCCGGGAAACTCGTCGGAGAGTTGCTCGCGTCGTAAATTTTCAAAAGTCAAAGGTCGGGAAAATAAAGCGCGAAGAAATAATCGCAGCTGATCCTACGAGTTTCGCCAGTCCTTTCATCCGCAATATTTTCACCCGCCGCGCGTGAAATATCGAAGTTTCCTTGCGCAAACAGTCTTTCACGTATTTACAAATCGGAGAAACTCGCAAAATCGCGTAGCGCATCGGCGGCTTATCGCGACACACCGGTCATGTGTTTCTCGCGATTGCGTATCTGCCAATTATAGAAAAATGTTCAGCGCGCGGCTTATAATCGCGCCGATAAACTCGCTCGCTCGAAATTGATTTAGCTCTCGCGTGCGCCGGGGAAAAAAAATCATCGAACGCACACATATTCCGCCGCTCGGCTCGTATATCCTCCGCGAAAACATTCTGCGCGTATCTCCGATCGGCGGCATACGCGCAGTGAGATATCACTGCCTGCTTAATTGCTGGTCAGATATTGACATCAATTGCCGTGGTGCAGTTTAGGCCGTTCTCCTCTCCGGGGATAATTATTGCAAATGATATGCTCCATTTGAGAGGGAAGGCAAATGGATGCCTATCGGCTGCGTTTTCTCCTTGCCGCGCCGCATTGCATAAAAGTACAAACGTTTAAATTCGAGAGAAACGCGAATTCGTGCATCAATACCGTCCACTTCAAAGCCGGAGCCGCCCGAGCAGTCCGCGTTACGTTGCCTCTTGCGTCTTCGCGAGTGGAATTAGCCGTGCAATTAAGTGCAACGGATACAGCGCGATATAAATAAAGAGTTGCATGCGCGCGAGATCAGTTTATAGATAGGCACTTTTATCACGAAGAGCGGCTCGTTATACGTACTAGATCGGTGTAAAAGGTTTGTCGTATTCATTAAGTAAAATTCATTTGAAAGCCTGCAGTTCTGTCTTTAAATGAATTTTTGCGAACTCAAGTAGTCACTATTGATTTCGATACAGTTTTTCATCTGAAAACAAGTTTACGCTCGATTCAGAAAACTCTTTAAACTCTTAGAATGAAAATTGATAACTTTATTTGAAATAAACCTTCGCGAAGAAGTAAAAACCTTTTGCACCAATCTATTACTTCTTCGCATTTCCGCAATATTTTTGCCACTAATGTTTCAGGATTTTTATATAATCTTCTGCGACAATTGTTACGCGAAGAAGGGAGATCGATCCATATCCGTTATGAGAGTGAAAGGATTTAATGACTTATTTTTCATCGAAAACCACCGACTCTGTCGTCGGATCCCAGAATTTACGACGGTGAAACCGCATGGATAATCGTGCGTTATACATTGTGCGAGCAAACACGATCCCGCGATGCTAAAAAAGCGGGG